GGGCTGCATGTGAATCTTCTTCTACTTAGGACTGTTCATTTCTTAATGAAGGCATAGGCAGCCACTAAAACATTTGGTCCTTGTTTTTTAATTTTTTAGATGGTTGAGCTCCGTGCCGATTACCAGAAACAGTATGGATTTATTGTTTTAAGGTGGTCTTAACAAACCATAGGTTACTAGGATAGGGTTCATGTCTGATCAAAATCCGTTTGACCTGCTAGCCAAATTTCTCTCACTGGATGCCACGCTTTCGCCCTCAAGCTAGATTACTTAATTCTTTCAATTCCTTATTTTTCAGGGTACATATGGAATCGAGATTGCTAAAAATCAGTGCTGACATGCTTTTCATCAATATGTAGGTTGGGAAAAAGCTCTCAGAACTCATTAGAGATTCTGGCAGCCAGGCAGCTGGAGCTGAGCAGGGAAGGTGGCAGGCTGAGTTGACTCAAGTGGCAATTGAGTTGATTGCGGTGAGTACAGAAAGACCTTAAGACAGGTTACTAATTTATTCATGTTCTTTCTCATGGTTGCATGCCACCTGTATTTTTCTGATTACTGGCAGTAAAAACAAAGTTGTTTTATTTATTTCTTTATTTTATCATGTCGTTACTGTTTTATAATATGAGATGTACTGGTTGTGTAGATTGTGACTAATTCTGGAAGAGCAAGCACCTTGGCAGCCACCGATGCTGCTGCGCCCACATTGAGGCGCATAGAGAGGGCAGCAATAGCTGCAGCAACTCCCATTACTTACCATTCCAGGTTTTGTATATTTTTATTTAAGGTGTTCTGTTTGGCACTGCTAGCATCATTCTCAATTAGAACTATTTTCTGCCTTTCAGGGAACTATTGCTTCTTATACATGAGCATCTTCAAGCATCTGGCTTAACCGCTTCAGCTGCATTACTGCAGAAGGAGGCTGATTTGACACCTTTGCCTCCATTATCGGCACCCCAACCTCCTCTCCATCAAACCTCTTTGCTGGAAAGCTCAACAATGCAACTACCTTGGCCCTCTGGCCGTGTTTCTTCCGGGTTCCTCTTGGATAATGCAAAGCCAAGTTCTGTAGATGAGAGTGCAGGTGCAAAATCAGACTCCAACTTGTCTTCATGGAGAAAGCCATTGGTCTTTACTAAAAGTCAGCTTCATTCACCTGCATCCCTTAATTACAAAACTAGTGCGCTAAAAAGCCCATCGGTATCTAACCGTGGTTCAGAAGACACTTCATCCCTTTCTGATGCCAAGTCTAATGTAGACATTGAGCCTCCACTTAAAACACCTCTACTGCTGCCATTGAAAAGGAAATTTTTGGACGTCAAGGATCCTAATTCACTATCTTCTAAGCGCCCTGCTACAGCTGAGCTTGTATCTCAGTCACCAGTGTTTCAGACACCAAATATTGTACGCCGAGCTAATCTGCAGGTGGATACTACTGGGCTGTCTCCTGCTGCAAATGCTACTCCACGTGATCCTGGAAGGACAACATCTGTCTTATTTGATAATAACTCTGATGAACATCTATACCAGGGCACTCCTGGGGCACCAGTAACACCTTTCTCCCAACTTACGAATCCAGCTGATGCTCAACCTGGAAATGCTGAGCGAATGACCCTTGATTCTTTGGTTGTCCAATATCTGAAGCATCAGCATCGTCAGTGCCCAGCTCCGATAACTACATTACCTCCTCTTTCTCTCTTGCATCCTCACGTGTGTCCTGAACCAAGCCGTAGCCTTAACGCACCTATAAATGTAACTGCACGTGTTAGCAACCGTGAATTCAGTAAACACTACGGCGGGATCCATGCTCATCGTAGGGACCGCCAATTTGTTTACAGCAGGTTCAGGCCATGTCGCACTTGCCGGGATGATGCAGCCCTTTTAACTTGTATTACCTTCTTGGGTGATTCGTTTCGCATTGCAACTGGCAGTCACTCTGGTGAGCTGAAAGTATTTGACTTAAACGATGGCAGTGTATTGGAGAGCCATTTATGCCACCAGTCACCTGTTTCCATAATTCAGTCAGCATTTTCTGGTGACACCCAGATGATTCTTTCATCCAGTTCATATGATGTAAAGCTTTGGGATGCTTCATCTGTATCAGCTGGGCCCTTGCATTCATTTGATGGATGTAAGGCTGCTTGTTTTAGTCCTTCGGGGACTATGTTTGCAGCCCTTAGCACTGAGGCATCTCATCGCGATGTTCTTCTTTATGATATCCAGACCCAGAACGTGGAGTTTAGATTACCTGAAAGCTCAAGTGGCCCTTCAGCACCGGGTCGAGGGCATGTTCAGCCTCTTATTCATTTTAGTCCTTGTGATACGAGGTTATTGTGGAATGGGACGCTGTGGGACTATCGTAGTGCATGTCCTATTCATCGATTTGATCAATTTACAGATTATGGTGGTGGTGGATTCCATCCTGCTAGGAATGAGGTATGTACCTTTCTATAAACATATAGTTACATTACTATACCCAGTTACAGTTGCATGTATACATAATTGATGCTTATTTGCGTATTCATACATGAAAATATACATTATTTTAGTGCGAATATGTACATATTTATCATAGATACATACTTCATTTCAAAAGTGAAATACTATAGCAATAGAAATATAAACCCACGTTTTTTTTTCGCGGGGGAGGGAGGGGGATTGGAAATGGTTCAAACTAAACAACTCGGGTTCATGGTGTCTGGTGCGAAAGCCTTATAGATGATGCACCAATCGTCTCATTGGTAATCATGTTTAAGAAACCAAGCCTTAGATTGCATAATATGCATACTGCAATCGTATTGGTGTGTTATATTGAGCTATAAGATCGAGATAATGGAGCTCCTCATAGTTCAGCAGTTTTTTCATGTTACTTTATGAATTATACAATGCGCACCTTGTAGGATGTTTTATAGTGTGAGGGTGCTGCTTCTTTCTTGGCATGGCTTCTAAGGCATAATATTTTGTAATAGCAAACTATAGACTCCCTATCAGTATCGGTTACAGAACCATCCTTCTCAGGAATATGATAGACGATCGTGTAACATATTATGTCGTGAAAGATCAGTCAGGCATGTATTGTAAAGCGATTAAATCCTTCTTCCAAAATTTGTATCTTAAGTTCTGCACAAGTTACTTTTGGAAGGTTAGAATTGGAATAATGGCAATATCAATGAAATGGAAGGGAAGAAGAGGATTCTGTCCTGCTGTGATGAATTCCTTCTCAGCATAGCAGTCCCTAGACACCCTATCAGTATCGGTTAATGAATCTTCTGGGAAAACACATGCATGTGTACACATGCGGGCACGCACCCAATTGTTGTAATCTTGACATCTTGTGTGTTTAACAGATTGTATTCCTGAATGATAAGTCAGGCCTTGAATGTAATAACTATTAAATGTCTTTCGAAGTGTGTATCTTAAAGTTCTGGAGAGTTACTTTTGGAAGGTTAGCATTGAAGTTATGGCTGAATCCACAGGAAGCACGGGAAAAGAGGATCAATGGTTAACAGGTCCATTCTGATTTGGTCTTTTAGCAGAGAGTAGATTCTAGATTGCTTTTGTAGTTTAGGTCTTTGCAATACATGAATCAAGAAACTTGAGAACGCATCTCGACTGTCTTGCATTAGGTATTTTATGATAACACTGCTGACTTTCATAGGCCTGTTATAAAGTCTGTTGTGGTTGGAGAGCAAGAGGATTAGAAAAATTGTAGACTAGATGATGATTGATACTTTTTTCTTTTTTTGTATGAATGGTAAATGTTTTATTCAATACCAAAATATGGATGATATGTACATACTAATCTACAAAACTCTCTCCATCCCCCAGATAAGCACAAATCAATTATCATTAACAGTAACCCTTTCATATGAAAAAATTGAACCCCTTGACCAAAACAAAACTGTAACAAAAATAAAGGGAACGGACCCTCACGTTAACAAGTATACCTGTATGACTGTGGGTTTGATGCTATATGAACTCATCAAAAGAGCATCCTTGGTTGCCACTTTTATCCCCCATACTGTAACACCAGAACCTTTCAAATTGAAATCAAAGTGAGATTGCAGAAATATTTCGCTTTTGTTCTGACAATGAAGTTAGGATGGATGGATAGAGAATCTATTACTCCATTCTCTACTCCTAGAATCCTCCATTTGTGCAACACAATTAAACTGAATTTTAAGCAAAACTTTATATGAGAAACAAGAGCTTCCATGTCAGATTGGGCTTAAAGATAATGAAATGGAAACATGTAATCCTGTCTTGCTTGCCATGCATTCGTGCCAAAATAGACGAGGCTTGATCACTAATTTAAGAAAATTCTTCCACTAGTAATTTAGGATAACTTCCTCCTTTTCTGGAGTAGCATATTCATGAATGTGAACAGAATTTCAACAACTAAAGAGATGGTCTCTGACATGTAGCGTAGAAGTTGTGTTGCCTGACATGTTTCCTCAATATTCAACTTATCTCTGATTGTCATTCAGTCCTCCGTCAGCAAAGCCTCAATTGTTTGAGTTCAATTTCTAAGTTGCGTTGTTGCTTATGCTACTAAGTTCCGCCTCAAACAAGTATTAAAATATGTCGGTAACTTTAGGTTTTTTATAATATTAGCAGTACTGGAATTGATAGGAAGTCAATACAGGTGAAATTTAAATGACTTGTTTTGCTTAAGTGGATGTGGGAAAATTTATGCTACTAAACCTGCAAGATTTTGTGTTCCATTGGAAACCGCAACTTACTTTGAAAATGTTACACTGATACAGCACATACGAAGGGAGGCAAGGTGGGAGAGTGGGGTTGAACTTGCGAGGAAATGTTGTAAATGTTGTAGTCTAGTCTACCACGTGTGATTGATGGAGCATATGAAGAATCTTTAAATTGTTTTGCTGCGAGTGTTTTGTTAATTTGTGATCTGTCAAGTGCATACAAACTGGAACCTTTCCTGCTTCACCTTATTTTAACTAGGGAAAATTACAGAAATCTCTCTGAGGCTTGAAGGAGTAACAAAAGTTACAGTGAAGTTCAAAACTATCACTTCCATCCCTCCTTTTGATTTTGACATCAAACGGGTCCACTTTTACACATTAAATGACAAAAATACGCTGCTTCATTTCTTCTAATAAAATATGGGATAAGGGTATTTTGTGAATGGAAAGGAATGAAAGTGTTGGTGTTAAAACTTCAGGAGTTCAGGAGATGTTTTTGTGATACTCACAAGCCTTTTGGGGAAGTTTCTGTAATTTTACGCCTACCACTAAACCTACTTAAACCTTTTATTTCAAATTGTTGGGTCGATTACATGAGTTCTATTCTTCTATTCAGTTCTTTTCAGGGCTATCTCCTCCACTAAGTTCAGCATTGCCATATGCTTCTTTATAGTTTCTGCATTTTCCCTCCTACCTATAGTTGTTGCTTCCTGTTTAATTTTAAATTCAATTGAGTACCATGCACATTGTCAGTCTCTGCATGCATTTCAACTTATGCAGGTCATAATAAACTCAGAAGTGTGGGACCTCCGAAAATACAACAAACTCCTCCGAAACGTCCCCTCTCTCGACCAAACAGTCATCACCTTCAACAGCAGCGGCGACATCATCTATGCGATTCTCCGCCGGAACTCTTTGCCGCCTTCCGCACCATTGATGCCATCAGTTACACCGACATCGCCACCGTCCCTGTCGACCGCTGCGTCCTCGACTTATCCGTAGACCCCACCGACTCCTACGTCGGCGTGGTCGCCATGGATGATCATGAAGAAATGTTCTCCTCAGCGAGGCTTTACGAGATCGGACGGCGCAGGTCTACAGATGACGATTCTGACCCCGATGATGGACCCGATACCGAGGATGAGGATGATGAGGAGGATGATGAGAATGACGACGATGAGGATGCGGATGATTCGATGCTGGGAGATTTGGAGGATGTCGATGATATCGATTCTGATGATTTGAGCAACGAGGATGACGATGGGGATAGTGGTGATGAGCTTGAAGGGGATGGAGAGTTTATGGATGGGGGGCATGGAATATTGGAGATTATGGCGGAGGGCGAGGATGGTGAGGATGATGATGATAGTGAGGTTTTAGAGGATTTTAGCAGCGGTGCTGAAGAAGATTTTGATTATGGTTTTTGAGTAGGCTAAGTTTTTATCTATGGGGTGAGAGAGAGAGAGAGAGAGAGAGAGAGAGAGAGAGAGAGAGAGAGAGAGAGAGAGAGAGAGAGAG